GTAATGCTTCTTAGACAGTGGCTCAAGGCTCTAATGCAGGGTACAGAGAACCAGGGAGAATCTGTACCACCTTTTTTGACTGAGTCCAGAAGGTCACACAGAATCATTTCTGCCATACCCTACTGGTCAACGAGTCACTAATGTTTGGCCCAAAATCAAAGGGAGGGCCACAAAGTTCACCTCTTCATGGGGGGAAGATCAAGGAATTTGCAGGTATGTTTTAAAACTAAAATTAGCTGGGCCTAGTGGCGTGCACCTAATGTGGTCCCAGCTACTTGGGGGGCTAAGGTGGGAGGACTGCTTGAGCCCACAAGGTGGAGGCTGCAGTGAGCGGTGATTGCACCACTGCTCTCCTGCCTGGGAGATAGTGCAATACCCTGCCTTGAAAAGAAATTAATTAATTAAGTTATATAATGTTTTAAAACTGCTACAAGCTGTGCAGAAACATTCTTTGGTTTACGCAATAAGTACTCTGGCAAGAGACATTTCTGTCTTCCGTTTACTTCCTTGTTTTTCTTCTTCTTTAAATGATCCCCTTTAAGTGTTTACAAATTTAAAGATTTCAGCTCTAAATACTTTGTTTGTTTTATAGGTGTTCTGTATATAGACCAATTCTTGTGCCAGGCCCAAATATTTCCGGCTGCTCTGTTCTGCTCTATCTACTTCCTGTTTGGTTGACTTTGATTTCCTGTACTCTGTCAAAGGGCTTCATTAAAGTTGTAAACTTCCATTTTGACCTAGGCACTGTGTTCTATTTCTGAATCCGCCAGTGGTCTTGAGCAACAGTACGCATACGGTAACTGTTAAGTATAATACAGGAAGTGAAAATTAAAGTACTATGTCTGAAGATTGATAGAATTAAATGCTCAGTTTAAGGAAATACATGGTGGAGACCATTTTTCAGGAGCTCAGACCTCAGCCAGGCTGAGTCTCTCTTTTAGGGATAGTTGGATCTCTCTTATTTTGGGCTGCAAATAACAGGAAACTCAACTGATTTAAATAATAATGTAAATGTGTTATCTCATATAACAAAGAGTCTGAGGTAGGATGGTTCTAATTCAGCAGCTAATCATGTCACCAAAAACTCAGATTCCTTCCAGTTCTTTCTGCTCTAACATCTTCAGCATGGTGGCTTTATTTATTTTTTGAGAAAGGGTCTCACTCTGTCACCCAGGCTGGAATGTAGTGGCATGATCTTGGCTCACTGCAACCTGCACCTCCCAGGTTCAAGTGATTCTCGTGCCTCAGCCTCCCAAGTAGCTGGGATTACAGGTGCGCACCACCATGCCTGGCTAATTTTTGTATTTTTAGTAGAAATGGGGTTTCGCCATGTTGACCAGGCTGGTCTTGAACTCCTGGCCTCAAGTGATCTGCCTGCCTTGGCCTCCTAAAGTGCTGAGATTACAGGCGTGAGCCACTGCGCCCAGCCCATGGTGGCTTTATTTTTAACTCATTGTCTTAAAATGGCTTCTGTGGTTTACTTGTCACATGCAGACACAGCAAAGTCTAGTGAATTCCTGAGTGTCCCTTTTTATGAGTGGGAAAAAAACAAAACAAAAAAACTATTTCAGTTCATTTGAGCCGCTATAACAGAATATTGGAGACTTTCAGTAATTTATAAAGAACAGAAATTAATTGTCTCATAGTTCTGGAGGCTGGGAAGTCCAAGATCAAGGTGCTGACATCTTGCAAGGACCTTCTTGGCGTGTCATCACATGTAAGAGTGCAAGAGAGCTCCTCCTTCAACCTTGAGTCTTTTTATAAGGGCCCTAATCCCATCCATAAAGGCACCACCCTTATGACTTAATCATCTCTTAAAGGCCCAACCTCTTAATATTATCACATTGGGAATTAGGCTTCCAACACATGAATTTTGAGGGACACATTCAAACCATAGCAAAAACCTATTCCAGGCTGCACACGGAATCCCAGAACTTTGGGAGGCCAAGGCAGGCACATCACCTGAGGTCAGGAGTTTAAGACCAGCCTGGCCAACATGGTGAAAACCCGTCTCTACAAAAAATACAAAAATTAGCCAGACAAGATGGCACATGCCTGTAGTCCCAGCTACTCAGGACGCTGAGGTATTGAAAATCACTTAAATCCGGGAGGTGGAGGTTGCAGTGAGCCAAGATTGTGCCACTGCACTCCAGCCTGGACAACAGAGTGAGACTCTGTCTCAAAAAAATAAATAATAATAAGTAATGTGACCAAGATTGTTTCAAAAGTCTAAGGCAAAAAAATATATTCAAAATATACCCAATAATAGGAAAGTATAAGTTTATTATTTATAATATTGATCTATCACCCTTTTTTTTTTTTTTTGAGATGGAGTCTCGCTCTGTTGCCCAGGCTGGAGGGCAGTGGCACGATCTTGGCTCACTGCAACCTCCACCTCCCGGGTTCAAGCAATTATCCTGCCTCAGCCTCCCAAGTAGCTGGGATTACAGGCACGCACCACCACACCTGGGTAATTTTTTATATTTTTGGTAGAGATAGGGTTTTACAAGGCTGGCCAGGCTGGTCTCAAACTCCTGACCTCAAGTGATCTCCCTGCCTCGGCCTCCCAAAGTGCTGGGATTACAGGCATTAGCCACCACACCCAACCTGATCTATCACTTTTAGTTAAGCACTAAGTAAAAATAAAGATGTACACATTTACTGTGAAAATGAAAACATTTCAGCTGGGTGTGGTGGCTCCCCAAGCCTGTAATCCCAGCACTTTAGGAGGCAGGGGCAGGCGGATCACGAGGTCAGGAGATTGAAACCATCCTGGCCAGCACAGTGAAACCCTGTCTCTACTAAAAATACAAAAAAAAAAAATAAGCTGGGCATGGTGGCGTGTGCCTGTAATCTCAGCTACTTGGGAGCCTGAGGCAGGAGAACTGCTTGAACCAGGGAGTCAGGGGTTGCAGCAAGCTGAGATCACGTCACAGCACTCCAGTCTGGCGACAGAGTGAGATTTTGTCTCAAAAAAAAAAAAAAAAAAAAAAAAAAGAAAGAAAGAAAAGAAAAGAAAATGAAAATATTTCATCTGGAGTATCCAAAATTAGGTTTAATATATTTTAAATCTCATTAGACTTTTTGATAGTTTGCCGTAACTATTATTACATGAAAGTCATGCTTGTCTTCAATCTCAATGGTATTAGATATCTAAATATAAGCCTGGTTTTTTAATGCAATAACTTAGAAAGCCCAACTTCCTGCTCATAATTTCCTATTTTTCCAATTTTTCAACTCCCTGGTTACATAAAATCTGTTCTTTAAGCTGATTAGGACCTACAAGCCTTGGAACCATTCTCAGTTTCCTAGGATATCTATTCTCTAGACAACCTCCTTCCTTATAGTGCTCAGCATAAAATCCAGGTCAGGCGCGATGGCTCATGCCTATAACCTCAGCACTATGGGAGGTCAAAGCAGGAGGACTGCTTTAATCCAGGAGTTCGAGACGAGCCCAGCGAGCATAGGGAGACCCCATCTCTACAAAAATAATTGTAAAATTAGCCAGATATGGTGGCTTGTCCCTGTAATCCCAGCTTCTCATGACGCTGAAGCAGGAGAATCACTTGAGCCCAGGAATTTGAAGCTACAGTGAGCTGTGACTGTGCCATTGCAGGGTGACAGCTGGTCTCTAAAAAGAAAAAAAAAAGTCTATGGCATGAAAGAAAAATCCAGGCTACCAAAGTTTATATATATATGATCTATAGTGATATAAAATATACAATAAAAGTTACACAAGGATATACTCCAAATTATTACTCTTGGTTATTTTTTGCATAGGGTTGGTCATTTTACTTGACTTTCATTTTCTCTGCCTTAATTTTTTTTACCATGATCAAGTAATAGAAGAAGAAATAAACCAAAGCCTGCATATGAAAAAGCTCTAGAAGACAACACATACAAACATACTCACAGATGCATGTAGGTGATGTCTGTATTACTGAGGTAGAATTATAGGTGAGTTTTCTTCTTTTCTCCAATCTTTATTTAATTTTGTTTATTTGTTTTGTTTTATAGAGACAGGGTCTCACTATGTTGCCCAGGCTGGTCTTGAACTCCTGGCCTCAACTGATCCTGCCACCATGGTCTCCCAAAGTGCTGGGATTACAGGTGTGAGTCACTATGCCCAGCCTTTCTTTAATGTTTTATATGTGTATTTTTTTTAGGTTGTAATTTAAAAATAAACATATTTTAGCAAAAAATCAAAGACTTTGAATGTTATTAAAGAATTTAGGTCCGGGAGCAGTGGTTCATGCCTGTATTCCCAGCACTTTGGCAGGCTGAGGTGGGAGGGCTGCTCGAGCCCAGGAGTTTGAGACCAGCCCTGGGCAACATACTGAAATCTCATCTCAATCTAAAAATAAATAAGTAAAATATACATATGAACTTAGTAACCAGTTGGCCCAGCTTGCCTGCTTTCATGACACTAATCCATGATTTTGATACCTGTCTTAATATAATAACTATCATACCTCTCTGCAGGCATAGTTATCACTTTGGGCAGGAGTTGAGCCTTGTGTCTCTTTTTTTTTTCTTGGTGGTATCTAATGCCCAGTGGTGATACATTGTCACTCCTATCAATACTGGAGTGATTCAATATGTAATAATTTATATTTTATTTGGCATTTAATGAGCATCCACAATGCTCAAGGCACTATACTAGCCACTCTAGGGAATAAAAGATGAACAAGACACAGTCAATGCCTTTAATTAAAAAAGTAAATGCACTGATTTTTACTTTTCCCATACAGGTATTGAATTGAGAATTTTTGGCAAAAGACATGAGAGTCTTAAAAGATATGGAGCCTGTGAATGCTAAACCTTCATATATTTGCATTTTTATTAGTAAGATTATGGCTGCCAGTTATATTGCTTTATATCTCAGGTCATATTTTGAAACGTGATATGACACAGTGAAAAAGAAACAAAGAGTCTGGAGGTCTGGTTTCAAGTCTCAACTCAACAATTAACTAGCAAATGAACATGGGCAAGGTACTTACACTTTCCGTGCCTCATTTTCCTCATGTGTAAAACGAGGGAGATGAACTAAATGATCTATAGGGTTCCTTCCAACCTTAAAATTGAACTCTCTCCTGTTGAGACATAAAAGAGGCACCATATGACTTGAAGGTGATGATGACTTCATTACTCGTTCTGAAAAATGTTAATTCTAAATCGGAACAAGTAATCACTGGATCTCATGGTTGTGACACATCAGATATTACTATAGTTAGAGAAACCCAAGTCAGCACACTGTGTCATACTTCTAAGCAGTGCTATATACGCAAAACTAGCATACCACAGTATAGGGCCTACACAATATAAATAAAAGACTAAAAAGAGATTTTTTTTTTTTTTTGAGATGTAGTCTTGCTTTGTTGCCCAGGCTGGAGTGTGGTGGCACGAGATCGGCTCACTGCAATCTCTGCCTCCCAGGTTCAAGTGATTCTCCTGCCTCAGTCTCCTGAGTAGCTGGGATTACAAGCATGCACCACCATGCCCCGCTAATTTTTTGTATTTTTAGTAGAGATGGGGTTTCACCATGATGGCCAAACTGGTTTCAAACTCCTGACCACAAGTGATATGCCTGCCTCGGCCTCCCAAAGTGCTAGGATTACAGGTGTGAGCCACCATGACCCGCCAATTTTTTTTTTTTTTTTTTTAATAGAGACAGGGTTTTGCTATGTTGCCCAGGCTGGTTTAGAAATCCTGGGATCAAGCAATCTTCCTGCCTCAGCCTCCCAAAGTGTCAAGATTACAGGCGTGAGCCGCCGCACCCAGCCAAGAAAATTTAACAATGGATATCTTACGAATGCTTTTTGGAGTTTTTATGTACTAAGATTTCATTTCTCTGGGTGTTCATTAATCTTATGTTTCAGTTCCTTAAATGAAAATAGGTGAATGGTGCAGGTTTCCTCAGAGGTATAGTTTTTACTTTAGGGACTATCCCTTTCCCCTAAAGTGTGCTTTAAAGATGGCAGCACATGAACTTGTGTTAGATAGGAGGGACAGCAGGCAAAACTGATGACAGGATCTGGGTCTGCTGCCACATGCCAAACTATTTATGAAATTTTTTTAAGAGACAGGGTCTTGCTCTGTCATCCAGGCTGGAGTGCAGTGGTGTGTTCAAAGCTCACTGCAGTCTCAAACTCCTGGGTTCAAGTGATTCTCCCACCTAAGCCTCTCAAGTAGCTAATATTACGGGTGCACGCCCCCACACCTGGATTTTTTTTTTTGTACAGATGGGGGTCTCGCTATGCTGCCCAGGCTGGTCTCCAATTCCTGGTCTCAAGTCTCAGTCTCAAAGTGCTGGGGTTACATGGGTGAGCCACCACACCCGACTCTCATTTTTTTTTTTTTTGAGATGGAGTCTTGCTCTGTCTCCCAGGCTGGAGTGTAGGGGCGTGATCTCGGCTCACTGCAAGCTCCGCCTCCCAGGTTCATGCCATTCTCCTGCCTCAGCCTCCCGAGTAGCTGGGACTACAGGCATCCACCACCATGTCCGGCTAATTTTTTTGTATTTTTAGTAGAGACGGGGTTTCACCATGTTAGCCAGGATGGTCTCGATCTGCTGACCTCGTGATCTGCCTGCCTCAGCCTCCCAAAGTGCTGGGATTACAGGCGTGAGCCACCGCGCCCGGCCCCAACTCTCATTCTTTATGGTTTTTTTGTTTGTTTTGCCCTTAGTTTTGTCTTTTACAACCTTATAAATCACGTAAGTGAGTTTCAGAGATCTCAAACAATACTAATGCAGTAAGTAAACAGGAGAGCAGGAGTGGGGTTTGGCCAACAGCACTGGTGAAATTCACTTATAGTGGTCGAACCCAGCTGTTGCAGCTATTTGTCCTTAATAGTGGAAGGACACCTCCTCACTACAGAGAGTTGGGCAGTACTTGTAGTACGCTAATTGGGACTACAGGGTACTCTCGATCAGGTCTAATTTTTTGTAAGAGAACCGTGTGGCTTAAATTGATGTAAAGTATCTACATAAACTACATAACGGAAGACAGGTAACTCAGATAAAGAGGGTATCAAAGACGAAATTTGGCCATTTATCTAGAATTATCTGAGGGAGAACACCATTGAATCCAACAAATACAATCATTCTGGTGGTTATTAAAGTGTAAGAATCACTGTTATACATGTCCACGTATTCAGAGGGAAGAGTACCAGTGTCTGCAACTTATTTTGAAATACATTTTTAAAAACCAGATAGATGAATGGATAGACAGAGGGATGGAAAAATAAACAGGTGATAAGGCAAGTGCAGTAAAATGTTAGTGGTGGAATCCAGTTAGTGGGTATACATATGTTCCCTGAAAAAATTTTTCAGTTTGGCTGTATATTTGAATTTTTTTTTTTTTTTTTTGAGACGGGTCTTGCTCTGTTGCCCAGGCTGGAATGCAGTGCAAGGATCATGGCTCACTGTAGCCTTGACCTCCTAGGCTCAAGCAATCCTCCCTCCTCAGCCTTGCAAGTAGCTGGAACCACAGGTATGTGCCACCACACCCGACTAATTAAAAAAAAAAAAATCTTTTGTAGAGATGGTGTCTCACTTTGTTGTCCAGGCTGGTCCTGAACTCCAGGCTCAAGTGATCCTCCCACCTTTGCATCCCAAAGTGCTAGGATTACAGGCATGAGCCACCATGTCTGGTCCCAATAATTTTTATAGTAAAACAGGAAAAAAACCTGCCAACATTTTTGAGTGCTTTCCCTGTGTCAGGCACTTTGTATTAGTGATCACAATTAGTCCTCACAAGAAGCCTGTGAGGTAGGTACCATATTACTACCCCTATTTTACAGATAAGCAAACAGGCACAGAGAGGCTAAGGGACTTGCCCAGAGTCTCACAGCTAACAATCTAGGACGAGTTAAGATTGAAATCCAGGCCTGTGTGTTTGCAAAGCCAGGGCCTTTAGCTGTGGAACAGAGAGAATTCAGCAGATGTTTTTCAGAGCCTCCGTTAAATATTACTGAGTATTATAAAACTTTTAGAAGAAAACATACGAAAATAGTTTCATAACCTCAGTCCAAGAAGAGTTCTCTAACATTACATGTAAAACACTATCAAAGAAAATAAATCAGACTTAATTAAGTTAAAAACTTCTCTAAAATAACGAAAAGGCAAGCCACATACTAGGAGAGGATACTTGCAATGCATATATTTGATAACAACTCTGTGGCATTCATAGAGGTGCTCTGCTCAGATCTCCATTCTAGAGGGGATCTGCCTCAGCTTTCAAGCCAAGGCCACAAATTTCCTCGGAGCCACCTAGCCAATTATAAGCACAGAGGTAGTGTAAGGACTCACTAGCTCTGTGCACAGTGTTTGTGTTAGAGCTCCCCATTGGATTTACTGAGACTTCCTCAAAGATGCACTCTCATCTCACTCTACCAAATTTACCTTCCTTTCCCATTTCTTTTCACCAGCGTCAGACCTGCATCTTAAGATTTTCCCTGCCTGTAACTTTTTTCTTTCCCCTTTATCTTTCACAGATGTTACTCCCGATAAATCTCTTGCATTGTTAATTTCATATTGGTACCTGCTTCCCAAAGAACCCACCTGATATACTCATATCCAGAATGCATAAAGAATGTCTACAAATCTATAAGAAAAAGATAGATAATCCGATTTTTTTTTTTTTTTTTTTGAGATGAGTCTCACTTTGTCGTCAGTTTGGAGTGCAGTGGTGTGATCTCGGCTCACTGCAGCCTCCTCCTCCCAGGTTCAAGCGATTCTCCTGCCTCAGCCTCCTGAGCAGCTGGGATTACATGTGTGTGCCACCACGCCCGGCTAAATTTTGTATTTTTAGTAGAGACGGGGTTATACCATGTTGGTCAGGCTGGTCTCGAACTACCGACCTCGTGATCCGCCTGCCTCGGCCTCCCAAAGTGCCCAGCCCCAATTTTTTTTTTAATGGACAAAAGACTGAAACAGGTACTCTGCAAAGGAAGATAGCCAAATGACTAATAAATTTGTACAAAGGTGTTCAGTATCTTGGCCAGGTGCAGTGGCTCACACCTGTAATTCCAGCACTTTGGAAGGCGAACGGGGGCAGATCACAAGGTCAGGAGTTGGAGACCAGCCTGGCCAATATGGTGAAACCCTGTCTCTTCTAAAAAAAAAAAAAAAAATACAGACAGACGTGGTGGCTCACGCCTGTAAGCCCAGCACTTTGGGAGGCCAAGTCAGGCGGATCACCTGAGGACAGGAGTTCGAGACTAGTCTGACCAACACGGAGAAACCCTGTCTCTACTAAAAATACAAAAATAAAAAAAAAATTAAAACAAAACCCAAAAAAATACAAAAATTAGCCACGTGCGGTGGGCGTGCCTGTAGTCCCAGTTACTCAGGAAGTGGAGGCAGAAGAATCGCTTGAACCTGGGAGGCGGAGGTTCCAGTGAGCTGAGATTATGCCACTGCACTCCAGCCTGGGAGACAAAGCGAGACTCTGTCTCCAAAAAAAACAAAAACAAAAACAAAAAAAGGGTTCAGCTTCTCTAGTTATCAGGGAAATGTATATAAAAACCACAAGAAGGTATTGCTACACCTCCATCAGAATGGCTAAAATTAAAAGGACAATACCAAGTGTTGGTGAAACAAATTGAATTATCTTGTTTGTTTGTTTGTTTGTTTAGACGGAGTTTCGCCCTTGTCTCCCAGGCTGGAATGCGATGGCACGATCTTGGCTCACTGCAACCTCTGCCTCCTGAGTTCAAGCGATTCTCCTGCCTCAGCCTCTCAAGTAGCTGGGATTACAGGCATGCGCCACCATGCAGGGCTAATTTTGTATTTTTAGTAGAGACAGGATTTCTCCATGTTGGTCAGGCTGGTCTTGAACTCCCGACCTAAGGTGACCCGCCCACCTTGGCCTCCCAAAGTACTGGGATTACAGGCGTGAGCCACCACGCCCAGCCTCTTAAGTTTTTTTTTGTGGGAATATAATTTGGTACAACAACCTTGGAAAACTGGCAGTGTCTACTAAAACTAACATATATTTATCATATGATCCAGCAGTACTACTCCTGGGTGTAAACCAACGGAAATAAGTGCTTATATCCACCAAAAGATGGACAACAATGTGGACACAACTCAAATATTTATCAACAGACTGGATGAGTGAAATGTGCTATATTCATACAATGGATTTCTCCCCAATAATGAATGTACTACTGTCACACAGTATGGACATGACACATAAACATAATGTTAAGTGAGAAAGTCATACTTAAAAGAGTATACACTGCATGACTCCATTTATATCAAGTTTAAAAACAGATACAACTAATTATTGTCAAGGAGGTCAGAATATCTGGTGCCTTCTGGGGGTGGATATTGACTAGAAGCAGCCCTGAGGCAGCCTTTTGAGTGGCTGAAAGCATTCTGTATCTTAATCCGGGTGGTGGGTTACAAAGACTCTCTCCTTGGTGACACTCTAACAAGGCTTCTCTGAGCCCTGTTCTCCACTAGGCTTCAGCCTTGGCCTGTAACTACTGCAGATTCTGAGCACACATTATTTTATCCATGCCCCACACTAAGAGACCCAAACAAATACTAGCACGTCCCTAGGATGATGACTTCAGTCACCTTTAGTTCCTGCCTGGGAAAGCTCAAGACTGCCAAAATAATATATGTTTGTTCCAGTTCTACAAGCCTATGGTGACCACAACGTTTGATTTTATTCTGAAACTGTTACAACTGTATCCATTCAGTTTAATGATGGGTGTCTTGTTCTTTCAACAAGGAAAAAAATCTCATATGGAGCAATTTCACTTATGATCCCTCACTCTTACTTTTTCATATTCTGGGATCACAGACTCAGAACACATCCATTTGCTAATCAGATTTGTTTGTTTTCTGGAGAATTGTGACTTTTTGACTGCTGCATCATTAAAAAAATTTTTTTCATATATTTAAGGTAAGTTCTTTAGTATCAAGAGTTCTAAAGGTTCTCTGCCCTTTCAGATCAGTGCCTACTGTTTTATAACATATATTTGTAACATCCCCTTTAGTAGCTTGAAATGAAATTCATAATCTACTTTACATGAACATTTTCAAATAAATAAAAATAATATTCTAACAGCAATATTAAGAAATAAAAAGAAAGCAATTTATAGGAAAATAATATCGACCTCAGTATGTAAATACTTGGGCATAACTACATTAAAAGACATAATATGGCCAGATGCAGTGGCTCATGCCTGTAATCCCAGCATTTTGCGAGGCTGAGGCAGGAGGATTGCTTGAGCTCAGGAGTTCGAGACCAGCCTGGGCAATGTAGCAAGACCCCGTCTCTTTGAAAAAAAAAAAAAGCTATAATGGGCCGGGTGTGGTAGCACATGCCTGTAGTCCCAGCTATTTGGGAGGCTGAGGTAGGAGGATAGCTTGAGCCTAGGAGATGGAGGCTTCAGTGAGCTGTGTTCATGCCAGTGCATTCCAGCCTTGGTGACAGAGCGAGACCCTGTCTCCAAAAAAAAAAAAAAAGACACAATGAAGTTGGCAGATGTTTGTACTTGTACCTAGAATCAGTGTGAATGCAAGTGCTGCAAATGCAGCCTGATATTACTGTGTTGTATTTTTTTTTCCCCCAAGACAAAGTCTAGCTCTGTCACCCAGGTTAGAGTGCAATGGCACGATCTCGGCTCACTGCAACCACCGCCAGCCCGGTTCTAGCGATTCTCGTGCCTCAGCCTCCCGAGTAGCTGGCATACAGGTGCACAGCACCACGCCCAGCTAATTTCTGTATTTTTAGTAGAGACAGGGTTTCACCATGTTGCCCAGGCTGGTCTTGAACTCCTGAATTCAGGTAATCCACCTACCTCGGCCTCCCAAAATACTGGGATTACAGGTGTGAGCCACCACACCTGGCATACTATGTTCTACTGATGAGCTGTCAGAGTTACAATTTTCCAACTCTTAAAACTTTTTTAATAAAACAGTCTGTCTTCAATTTATACAGTATTTGTATTCCTGGGAAATTCAGTGTATATTAAAACCATACAAAAATATTGTATATTTATATATGAAAGGGAGTTGTGTTCTAACCATATATTATTAAAATAGGCATTTCAACTACACAAATGTGAATGTTTGGTGAGACATTTGAAGGTCGTGAGGATGAGGGACAATTCTTGACTGTGCTCTTTCCTATCTCAAGGACCTGCTGCCTGCTGTTCCCCCAGCTGGAATGTTCTTTCCCTGAATCTCCCTGTGAATGGCATTTTTTTTTTTTGAGACAGAGTCTCACTGTGTCACCCAGGCTGGAGTGCAAGTGGCATGATCTCGGCTCACTGCAACCTCCGCCTCCCAGGTTCAAGCAATTCTCTGCCTCAGCCTCCCGAGTAGCTGGGGTTACAAGGAGCCTGCCACCACGCCTGGCTAAGTTTTGTATTTTTAGTAGAGACGGAGTTTCATCATCTTGGCCAGGCTGGTCTTGAACTCCCGACCTCGTGATCCACCTGCCTCAGCCTCCCAAAGTGCTGGGATTACAGTCGTGAGCCACCGCACCGGGCCAGCTCTTTCTTATACTGAGGACTCAGCTCAAATGTCACCTCCTCAGAACATTCCTCTCCCTCAGTCACTTTTCATTTTGAAATTCCTTCAGAGAATTGAAAATGCTTTCCATCTCTTTGAAAGGTATGTACATGTTTTAAAAAGCTAAATAAGCCTCTTGCTAGTTTTGCATCCTCAGAAGGTCTTTCTTGGGGGCCTTGGAGCCATCTCTTGGAAAGCGAACAAGGATGGTGCTCCACGTCTCTGTCTCTACGGGGGTTTAAGCCTTGGCTCTTGGCTCCAAGATACAACTTTCCATTATTTTCCTTTGGATAAAGACAATTAACAGGTATATAATGGATTGTATGTGCCTGACCATATGAAAGGATTAGGTTTCTTTTTTTTTTGGTCTTTGCACCCTCTTCAGTGGATTGCCTGTGATGTGCATCATGGTATGTTTTAGTACGTATCCAATAATAAAACTGTTTCATTCTTTTGTCGTACATTGTGCATTTCGTGGAAAGAATACTTTGGAGTTGGCGGGATATTTTTAATTATTTGCCCACCTGGGTCCCCCAGTTTTGGGCACTTGTATGGCAGGCTGATACTCCCCATTCCCTCTCCGTACTTATTTTAACTAGTAAGGGATGGGGCAAGGGTATGGAGCTTTGGAGTCAGACAACCCTGGCTTTTTTAAACTGTGCCTTTTCTTACCAGCATTTGGAAGTGCTGTATATTGAAGTAACTTCTCTGAACCCCGAATACTTCATCTATACAATTAGGAATAATAAATACGTCATAGATTAGGTATAGACATTATCTGACGCATAGCAGGTACTATTCAAATGAAGGAAACGAAGTTATCCTAGGTCCTTTAATGCACTAAATGTTTGCTCCATTTCCCCCTTTCTTGGTATCTGTGTGAAATCTCAGGATACAGTGTCCACTAAACTTCAGCGCACTGCGTAATGAGACAACGACCTGCATGTGCGGACCTTTTGAGTTTAAACGGGTTTCAGTAGGTAAAAGACGTAAAGTTCACAGTACCCTCGCAATTTAGATAGAAAGAGGAAAAAATCAGCCGGGTGGGGGGGTCCCCGTATGCAAATAGAGGAATTATAGAAGAAGACAGGCTCTGCCGCAGCCGCACTTCCCCCTCCGCGCTGGCGCGGGGGTGGAGATTTGCATGCGCGAAGTCGGGAAGAGGGGGAACCACCTCTCGAAAACCCCGGGCGTCGCCCTCCCCGGCCTGGAGGGTCGGCCCCGCTCGGCCGCCCGGCGCGCCCCTAAAAGCTCCCGGGCTGCCGGCCCTCTCTACGTCATCCGCACCCCCCCGCCCGCTCCTGAACTTTAAACCACACTCGGAAGAACAACCTGGAGGAGGGGGATTTCTCGGGAGCCGGCGGCCTTCTCACGCTGCGACCTCCCGGCTGCCGCCGTTCCCTGTGCTCCCGAAGCCCACCCCAAGCTCCCGCTCCCTCGACCCCCTCCCAAGCCCGCCGCCGCAGCAGCGCCGGGGGCGTACGCGCCGGGGCGGACGGTGAGCGTGAGCGGGGGCGGGCAGGGCGGGGCGCTGGGGGCGGTCGCGCGCGCGACGGCAGCTAGGACGCCCCGCCCCACGCCTCCGGCTTGAAGGCTGCGCCGGGCCTACGTCAGCCGCGGGAAATTCCCCTCCCGCCAGGCTGCCAGCCTCTCGGCCTGGCCGGCACTCGGCTCTCGCCCTGCTGCGCCCCCTGCCCCTGGCTCCCGCACGGTGGACGGGCGACGCTGGTGACCCGGAGCGCAAGAATTAAGGGGGTGGGAAGGTGTGAGCCGCAAACCCAGCGGAGGGCGGGAAGAAGGAGGAGGACCCTGGGGTGGTCGGGGGACTGGGGGCCCCGCCGGCAGAGGTCCCTCGGCCTCCTGACTGACTGACTGACTGACCACGGCCGCCTCTGGCCAGGACGCCGGGAACTGCCTGCGGGAAGGTGCGGGGAACGGAGCCATGGCCTCCGGTGAGTGTTCCGGGTCGGGGACCTGGGCCGGGGGGAAGGAGCTTTTCTTGGGGTCCTGCCGCTGTGAGTTTAGGGAGCTCAGTTTTGGCTGGGGCGCGTTCTGTCTTTAAAATCTCATATGGTAAAATTGTCAGCTTTTAAAAAAGTTACCTGTTTCAGGGCTTGCGTGCAAAATCCAAGCCGCGGTCTGTAATTTGATCCTGTTGTCATAGCAGGAAACTTAGAAATTCCTAATGACTTGATTTTAGGATTAGGGAAGTCATAAGCGAACTAAAGGAGGACGAGGAGTTCTCATGTTAAAAATGGATATGTATTGAAGTGGTGGTTTTATGTTTTAGAACAAGAATGAGGAACCTTCAAACCTCGGGCAAGCTCTCTCCCCCTTTTTAATTTCGTCAAATGCAAAGAGGTGATCCCCCTTGTACTGACAGTTGTACAAAATGCTGCACGGCTTTAAAAATCATTCGTGGTATTTTAACACGAATTTAAAAATCCGTGGTATTTTAAGTGTTAATGTTGCATCGACCAGGTGTAGGCCGGGCGCGGTGGCTCACGCCTGTAATCCCAGCACTTTGGGAGGCCGAGGCGGGCGGGTCATCTGAGGTCGGAAGTTCGAGACCAGCCTGGCGAACATTTTGAAACTCCGTTTCTACTGAAAATACAAAAATTAGTCTGGCGTGGTGGCGCACGCCTGTAATCCCAGCTACTCGGGAGGCTGAGGCAGGAGAATCGCTCGAACCTGGGCGAGGTGGAGGTTGCAGTGAGCCAAGATCGCGCCCCTTCTCTCCAGCATGGGCGACAGAGACCCTGTCTCTATTAAAAAAAAAAAAAAAAATAGAGTGTGTAATTTTTACTGTGAGATAAAGCACACAGTTTCTAATCTGACGAATAGAGACGTTGAATCCCCCTTCCTTCCCGCTGGAAATAAGGGGAAAGAGGAGTTTTAGAATATCCGTGCTTTAAAATAATGGGTAGTAGTGAATACAACTTTATCACTTATTTGACTGTATATTTTCCCTTAATAAATGCTCGATCTCTCCCTTTGGGGGGAAATAAATTTATAAGAAACATTGCAGAGCAGGGAAGAGCCTCCTGTATGCACAGACGTGGTTTCGGGGTGCCTGGAGCTCAAGGTTGGGGGGACGGGAGAGCCGGGGTGGTGGGAGAAATTAAGTAGCCTGGGTTCGAGTTGGTCTTTTACCAGGATTTTGCCAAGGTGAGTGGGGGGCGCTTTCCAGACAGAGGAAGCAGCGTGAGCAAAGGCAGGGAGGGCTAAATGCATATGTTAAATGCTGTACCTAAGAGAGTGAAGACGGGGCACCGTTTATGAACTTGACTCGCATCCCAAAACTGCCTGGTCCAGTGACCCTCAGAAGTTGGTTGATGTCTAGTGGAGATGAGGAAGTAGGAAGTTTAAAGAACCTTTCTAAAAGGTTGAGCAGAACAATGCCATAGCTACTGCTGTAGGCAGAAAAGGAAATTGGGGTGTTTCACATGACATTTGATTTCAGTTTGTCTGTGGTTGTGAGAATACTAAGTGAAGTTTAAAATATTTCAGCTTTCCCTTTTCCCACTTAAGTGACACCAGACTTTCAGATAATCCTGTAAATTTGTGAATTCAAAGCATGTGTAGATTAGAAGTGCTAAGATGACTTCAAATGTTTTGTTAATTTATTGGTTATCAGAAAGATTTTGTTTGGAAGTAATGAAGAATGCCTAGCATTGTAAGTTAAGTTCAGCCTCTTGGCGATTTAATCAAACTTTATTGATGTATTGCATAAATGTAATACTTATAATTTTTTCAAATGAGAGAGGAAACAACCATTTCTGTATAGAGTATTGTTAAGACCCACAGGATTTTAAAATGTAATACAATTTAAATTTGTTCATTGACACTGTATTTTGTGCTGTTGTGAGGAGGAAGGATTCCCTAAAAGTAAGGAGGAAATGTTTAAAGAAATAGAAAATTTTAAAGGTTTAGAAGTTGAAGGGTGATTAACTTTTTGTTTTTTTGGTCTTTTCTCAAGAGTTGCATTAAAATGGCACTATTTAAATGTAGCAAGTTATTTAAATTGTAATTCAGTTGTTAGAAAACTGCCAAGCCTGGAATTAAAAAAAAAAAAAAAAGAAAATGTTTAAAGGAATCTGTGTACTTTTCCTTAATCTGTTATAAAGACCTTAGAGATAGAAAAAGATTCAGTAATGAAATTCTAAATTCCTATTCTGTTTTGAAACAGCAATTTAACCAGAAAAGTGACACACACAAAAAAAAAAGAAAAAGAAATTGCTTAGTTTTTCGTTGTCTAGTTTAGATTCTCTTTGTAGTAAGGTAGTATTAAAACCTCAAAAAGTACTTTTATTCATTACAAAGCATTTAAGAGCATTTCTTCATTTCTCACCAGATGTCATATGTAAATAGGTATAAGTGTTGATTATGTGATAGCCATGATGTAAAAGTAACATAAATCATAATCATACAAGCAAAATTTTGTGATTTAGAATGTAGTTTAAAATCATATATATAATATGATTCTAAATTTTGTTTAGATAAGTTAGCACGTTAATTAGGATTTCACAGCTTGTATTAAGCTGCTTTTTGTTGCTTTTTTAAAAAAAATTACACCTTGATTACAGTCTTTTGACATAATAATAGACATAGTGAAGGAAAATGTTCCCAAACCCAACTAAGGTATGCATAGTAGGCAGTCGTTGCTTTTGTATATTTATTCTATTTTATTTAATATAAGTAAAATTAGATATTTTATGTCTGAATTTAAACCTTCTCATTGTTCCAGTAAAAAGAGCAAAATGTCTTTGTGTGGCATGTAGCTCTGTTAACTAATAATTAGTGCTGTCTTTGGTAAAATGTTTTAAAATTTAGATAATTTATTTTTATTCACATTTTTCGTTAGTATGGTTCTTCTATGTCACACAATAGGAAGTACTGGAATGAATTGTTTTTGTAAACCTCACTTCTTACCAACTATTTGTAGTGTGAATTTCAAGAGAACTGTTATTTTTCTCGATTAAAGGGGGGAAATGGAAGTAAGTAAAGATGCAACTTAATCTTTAATAACAGGGCTGGAAGTTAGGAATGGATAGCTACAGCTAATGACTTCTTTTTTTAAGTAAAAGGCCACACGTGAGCATGAATGTTTCAGAAATGCAACACTTGAAAAAATAGAAATAACAGTGGTGTTAAATAATTAAGGTGACATATGATAGGCATAGATAAAGGGAATGAGTTAATGTAATAACTAGGGAGGAGCCAGACAATGAATCATAATTAGGAACATCTAGGTTATGCATTTTAAGGGACTCAGAGTTTCCTTTTGTTCCAACTTTCTCTCATCTGGGTTCTCTGAAAATGGTTTTGTTTGTAGGCACATGACCCAAATATTGCATGGGATAAAATTGTTTTTCTGAAATTCCTATTTATCTGGGCCTCCTCTATTTTTATTTTTAAAATAGAGGTGATTTGGTCTTGCCATTTGTTTTTAACTTTAATACCTGTATAATCTAGGACAGAATTTAAAATTTCTTTATTTTACCCTGGCACGTACAAGAGTTTTTTCAAGACTTACCTTTTTACCCCCCATGGTAACAGAATCCCTATTGCCAGAATCTTTTACAGTTTTTACCTTGTGGTGCATGAATCAGTTGAATACTCATCTGAAAATTTCCTTTCTTTGATTCTGAAGGCCTAGTTGAAAGTCAGCTGATGTATTGGAGTAATGAAGTCAGCCTCATATATTGGAATAGCCTTTGGCTGATGAGAGACCTGGTTTGAGGAAAAAAATAGTAGATCTTATTTTCTTTTTCTCCAAACTGAGTAGAGGTGATATTTGGAAAAAGGTACATTGTTAGCTCCATTGGCTCCTTTAGGTCTTAGGCAAAGTCTGTCACCCAGGACCTTTATGAGAGACATGCAGTCTAGTCAGCTATTCTCAACTATAGTGTTGACACACTGGCGTGACAATCATTTGTGTGATGTGTTGCAAGAGTTAAAATATTTGTGTTGTAAATTATTTACTTTTTAAATAAATGAGAGCATTTGAAGGCTATCGCTGTATTGTCATTTTTCTTGCTTGCATTTGAATAAGGTTCTTTTTTGAGTGGGAGAGAAAAACAAGTTACGAGTAGCCAGAATTGCTTTGCCCAGATTGCTTCTCTCAATATGTGCATTGTTGCTTTCACTTCATGTTTTAAGGCAATTATTCTTAATCAGGAGTGTGTTAGAATTTCTTGGAAGGCTTTTTCAGAAACATGTATCTGGGCTTTAAAAACTTTGAAGATTTCTTTTTCTTTTAAACATCTCAAGTGGGGTAGGGACATTCATGTTTTGAAAAAACTGCCTAAGTGATTCTGATGTTCATCCCCAGTATGAACTCTGTTCTAGGGATTTCTTTGGATCTAAATACTCATTTGGCTATACCAGGATGCATTATCTTCTTAAATTAAGTTGCATTTATTTTAGATTGCAGGTTATGTGCTGTATCAGTTATTACCTCCAGTTGCTTTTATGCTTGTTTTTTAAATTTGGCAGTGCCATATTAGCGTACCATTCATAATTCATTTTTCTTATAACCATATAATTTTCAACTTTAGTTTTATCATCTTTAAGTTGGGATAATAATTTCTATTGTTTTTCAAATGGAGATTAAAGTTAAGAGGATCAAATGAGAAATGTATATAAAAGGGTCTTTCAAAAGTGTTGTAATTACAATAATTAACTTTTTGTTCTATATACTTGATGCTGGTTGCTCATTCTGGCAATAAGATGTTAGTTAATGTGTCTATTTCTGATAATTTATGATCCATTTAAACATTTATTTCAATGTAATTTTTTATCTTAAAAACTCATACTTTATTAAATAGGCACTATGTTTTAAAATAGCACTCTTTCTTGCCTAAGTGCAAATAAAAACATAAATATATCTTACAAACATTTTGACTGTATTTCAGATATTATTCTGATGTATATTAGCCTTTTAAAATAC